TCTGGACGATAATCTGGAAGATGATGTGGATCGCCAAGCTGCACGTTTCTGTAGCTCGATGAGTGACAACTCCCTACCTGGACTACCTAGTAAGTTGGACCATTTCATACAGGGTGCGGCTCAACAGCATGGCTCCCACCCCTCGTGAGTAGTCAGGTTAGCACCAGCAGCGCAAGGTTGGCCATGGCACCTTACCTACAATACCCGGTAAATGCCTAGCAAGGGGGTGACACAAGAAAGCCACACTCCCAAAACGTGAGCTCCCTTTGAACCGATATACTATACTTGGTACTCGCTCAAAGCTGATCAAAGTAAGAATGTGGTTGAATGTGTTGCCGATTAATTAGCAGGAAGAATCTCAGAGCATCCGGTTGAGACATAAACTGTGAATAACGTTCCAAAGTTAGGGATCTATCTGGATGGTGCTGTATCTGACGGGTTTGTAGTGCGGCCTACCCTGTTAAACCCTTAACCAAGGTACCTAGGTAGCTAGGTATGGAGCTGGGTGCTGACTAATCACCATTAGCGAAGAAGGAGCTCTCGCATCCCATGCAGGCCTGACGTCCATCCAATGGCACGAGCTGGCTTTAGAGCTTTGAATCCTCACATCCCGACAAGGCCCAGCTCACTCCCTCTCCCTGCATTTCTTGTCAGCCGAACAGCGAGACCACAGGCGTATTTGACAGGTTCTCAAGGTCCCGAGACCTGGTTTTGACGCGGTGAAGTCTTTCGCAGCGGCCACGACGTACTTGCCATCTCGACCCGTTCTCACACCGAATCTCATTGACAGCACTGACGAAAGCTTCGAGCGAGGCAAGTGCAACCTCGACTAGAGGGTTGTCGCCATCAAAGGGCTTCCTCCTCATTTGAGATCGAACAGGCGTCTCATCTTCATCTCTGCCGACTTCGCCAGGGCGTTCGTAGGACTAAGGGGTCTCCCCTTGGAGAAGGCGGCTGGCTTCCCCGCGCCTCGAAGCCAAATCGACCACTGAACTGAGGCGCACAACCCGTGTCGGACCACCCATCAGGCTGTTGAAAGACACAAACCATGTCTGACTTGCAGGAATTCCACGTCATCAGAATCGCCCACAGCGATGGCCAGGACACAGGCCCGGGCTACTGGCCGGTAGATGCAGCAAAGACGGCGAAGAAGCCCGGCGCGGCCATCGCAGACAAGACTCCCAGGACGAAACCGCAAATGGCCAGACTGGAAGAGGATGACCCGAGATTTGTCGAGTGGCGGGTCAAGTTGGGCTTGCTCCTCAAGCAAGAGCTATCACTCAGCCCCCAAGGTACGTCACGCCGAGGCTGGGCTTGGTCCTCGTTGTGTTGATGACCCCTCTCACGGCCAACTGACAAGAACTGAACAGAGGGTCTACCTTGGTACATTCACTTCCCCCGAGGATACTGGCTCTACGAAAAGTCCAAGCACCTCTGGGTGTCCGGCTACCCTATCAAGTCCAAGCTTTTCAAGAGCCCCCAGGAGTTTGGCGTGCATCTGCTGTGGCTCCTCTCCGGCTCCAAGGACCATAACGACTGTTGCTGCGTGCACTGCATCGCACCGAGGGTCGCCAACATGGGTGACGAGCTCAGTGTCCAGGAGCCTGCTGCGGCGGTGGCCAGCACAATACCGCCGCCGGCACCAGTATCAGCACCTTTGGCTGGCGAAGCAGTCCAGAAGAGTATCGCCAACGTCAAGGCCCCGAGCGCAACACCCACGCCGACGGCCACACCACCTTTGCGACCGGTCCAGCCGTCCCCCGTGGCCACATCTGCACAGTCATTGACGCCCATTCAAACCCCTGTGCCGGTGCCGGTCCATGTCCCGGCACATGTTCCGGCACCTGTGCAGGCACCAGCACCGGCGCCAGCCCCGGTGCCTCAACCTCCGCCGACCGTATCCCTCAAGACGGAGTCACCGGTGCCAGTTCCGATCGTACCCACGGTCAACACGCTGGTTCCCTTCAACCAAAACATGTCCTCCCTCTTCTTCCGCACAGGGGAGATGGTCTGGTACTCGGTGACCCCGAGTTGGCGTATCGGCCTCATCGCAAAGTCCAACCCTCAAACCAAGCAGGTTGACATTCTGCCCATCTCGCACGCCCTCTTCGAACAATGTGCAGCTTCAAGCCAAG